TCCCGTTTTCTGTACCATCAATCATGGCAGACATCACTAATCTATTACAGCATCATTTCTCTCTAAGTCCGGATGGCTTCAGAATCGTTCTCTGACCATTCTGTGTAGTCCCTACCAATCAGCCAGTGTCATTCCTAGTCTGTGATAACCATGCTGATATGTATCCTATGAGAAAAAGACCACAAATCATGCCTGCTCTTAGGAGTACCCATACATATGTGAACAAACCTAATTAGAATGGTGACTACAAGCCTTTTTGAGGGGCCCAGGTCCATCACAGAAAGTCCTGTTGAGACCCCATAGACTTAGGGAAAAAATGAGAAATCTGACACAGCACCAAGTGTTACAGAGGATGCAGGGCACTAGGAACTAGTTTTGCTTACAACCGAGGTATAAACAAGAGCAGCCACAGTGGAAGACAATTTGGCATAATATCAAGGTTGAACATTCGAGTGACCCACAATCCCAGAATGCCCTTTCCTAAGTACTTAGCCAGGCGAAAACCTGGACAAGTGCATCTATCACATGCTCTGGGCCGTGCAAGGTAGCAGTGTGTACGATAGCAAAGCCGCGATAGGAGACAAGTCCATGGCAATGTCCTCACACGTAACAGTGAAAACAAATTAACTGCACCCACAAAATCGTGGTCAAAAGTGAACAAAACCAAACAAAATATTGTTTAAGCAAGGATTTAAAGTATGAGTTTGTTTTGATGCAAAAAAATTTTTAATCCAAGCATAGTTTCCTAATAATGTATTTTCCATGGACTTTTTCTTTTCTTGTTTCTCTTCTTTTTCTCTTTTTAAGTTTGCTTATTTGTTTCTTCCTTGAGAGAGGAAGCAGCCACCCCCAGCAGGGCCACATGCTGGGAGCCAGCCCCTGTCTCAGCTGGCCTGGATCACAGGTACATGCTTGCCTGGCGTACTCAGGGAGGGCCCCAGACACACACTCAGGACCCTTCTCATGGGTTCGGCTGTGCTACCATTACACCAGCACCTGGCCCTCCAGGACTTTCTGACAAGCTCTCATGTGTACAGACATACTTTTTAATCAAATGAAACAGTAGAGGTTACCTCTGAGGAAAGACAGATTAGATTAAGAGACTGGTCAAAAAGGAATGGAAAGACAAGGAATGGAAGAGAAGGAATAGGGAGCCGGAAGCAAGTCCATGCTAATGTTTCGGGTCTTGGATTGTGTGGTGGTTTGTGGGGGTTGAGTGTATACGATAGCCAACCCTGAGCAATCTTTTACATATCGGATAAATTTTGTTTCTCTTATTTGATGCAATGAACCTGGTGTTTCCCGGCTGTATCTGTCCTAGGCTGACCTGGATATCACAGAAATTAACAAGCTAACAGCAGAAGCTATTCAGACACCCCTGAAGTCTGCTAAAGGTGAGTAATTTTCAAAATCCCTTGAACAGAGAGAGCTGAGGTCCAAGGTGCTGGGCTGGCAGCTCAGGCGGGGCCTCCTGCATTGGTCTCCCCTAACGTCTGATCCTCAATCTTATAAATCCAAAAAATTGATTCGGGCTGCCGAATGGATACAAATCAAACTCATAAGACAGACGTGAGCTAAAGTGAAGTCAAAGGAAGGGAAAAAAGTAGCTGGGCTGGAAACCAAACTTCGTGGCCTGTTTGCTTTACTCTCTGATGACTAGAAGGTTATCCAGATTGAGAGAGGAATGAAAAGACTGGTGAGACCAACTGAGACTCTCTGATGGAGCCGGCAGGCCGGAGAGAATTGCGAAAGGAGTAACTTTCTCAGCAGGGAAGTCCACGTTGTCATTTCACCAAGCTGTCTGTACCCACGTGCCCCACTCAGAAACACGGACCTTAGGAAAAGTTACAGGCGAGCCTGGTTGTAATTCACGAGCGTGGAATCAGGGCAGGATGAATTGTGACTCGGACTTAGTGTTGCTGTCATTAAGCCACAGTGGCACAGTGCCCCCAACTCTTGGGAGAACAGACCTGACCACAGCCTGCATCTTGGGGTGGCCCACTCGGCAGCTAAGCTGGGCAGACCAGAAACATTGTACATATTTTTTTAAGTTGCCAGAGGGTACATATGCTTGCCAGAGAGAGAGACAAAGAGGGAGAAATGTCTGAGCAAGTACCACCCCCAGCCCCCAGTGGGGCACCGTCACTCTGCATCCCTGTCCTCGATCTGTCCTTCTGGTCAAGATTTGGGGCATGTGCACTCCAGGTGCTAGCGTGTTTTGCAAGCCAGCAGGACCGGAACCGCAGTCAGCCGTGTGGAATTGGCTTCCCTGAATTGCCAGGCTTTGGAGCCAGCCCCCTGTCTGCTTCTTGCTCCAACTTGCCTTCTAGCAGAATTGCCTTAGAGAGTAAAGAAAGTATGCTGTGGTTTTGCTTTCCCAGTGTCGTGTTCCAGTCCTGCCCCCCTGAGATTCTGATACACTTGGACTTGGGTGTTCCTAAAGGCCTTCAGCCCCATATTTACCACCTGTTAGCTCACCTTGGGTCATTTCTACTACTGAGTACTATCAGTGTTTCTTCTCAGTTCCACCAGTTTTGCTTATTTGGTGGTGGTAGAGGTCTTCCGATTTTACCTTTGAGAACGGAACACATCAAGACCAGCATAAAATTGTTTCTGTGGCCCAGCCATGGTAGCACACACAAGTTGATGCTACGATGTAGCCAGCTGAGGCCACAGGGCGGGCCTGGCAGGCTCCCGGCCTGCCCTAAAAAGTTGGGCACAATGGCGTGTTCCTATACTCTCCTATACTTGGGGGGCTGATCACAACAGAGTGAAGAAGTATCATCTTAGCTACTGGACTTTGACCTTTGACTACATTATAAGTTGTTTCTTTAGAAAAAAGCAAATATACTTAAATTCTTATTTATTGTATCAAAGTTGCAATTGACAATGAAAGCTTTAAAGTCATTTAGTCCAACCTCTTCCCCAAAGATTAAATACATGTGTTCTCCCTGCTCTGGGGGTTCCAGCTCATGGTGCTCCCTACTTAGCTGTACTTCCTTTCACCACTAGACACTGGCATGATTAGGAGGGTTTTTTTTCTTTTCTTTTTTTTTTTTTTGATAGAGGTTTTTGCTATAGAGCACATGTACTCGCCAGAAAGACAGAAACAGAGAGACAGAAAGCGAGAAGTCACTTGATGGCCACGCCACAATCCCTTCTCCTCCTTTCTCCTCTCAGGATCTTGGGCACGTATGCACATGCGCCTGGCGTGAGTTTAAGCCACTGGGTCTGGGACTTGAACCATGGTCGACTATATGAAAGTCCAGCGACATAGCCATACGCCAACTGCTGGTCCCATAGGAAGGTTTTTTCTAATGTTGAACCGATGTTTCCTTGTGGGATCTATATATTGGTGTTAGTTTAGGGGACCAGCAGGTGGCATGGTGGTTAAGGAGCTGGATACTCCCACATGGCTGACCACAGTTCAAGTCCAAGACCTGGTGGCTTGCTTTCTCACTTTCTCTCTCTCTGTGACTCTCTCTGGTCAAATTAAAATAAATGAATGAATAAAATAAAATAAAATAAATTTTAAAAAAAAAGAACTATCTTCTATAAGACAGCCCCTTAAGTTTTAAAAATTGGCATTATTTTTTCTGGAGTTATTTTTTCATCTTAAACATCTCTCCAGAAAGAGACGGGACAAGCACCCGTAGGAGGGTATGGTCATATTACAGTCCTCTTTCCTTCATTTCTTCATCCCGTTGGGATTTGGGGCTCACATGCACCCGGTATGTTTTTCAAGCCACTAGGGCTGGGACTCAAACCATGGTTGACTGTGTGGGATCCAGCTCTCTTAACCACCAGGGCTGTCTTTCCACCTTAAACATCTGACACTTTGTCTCCCTGTGGTGATAATTGAATAGTCATTTCATTAGTTACAAATAACAATACTATATAATTATAGATAGTAATGATGCTGATCATAACATGTGTCTGGTACTGTCCAAAGGGCTCGTGTACATTCATTCCTTCCACAAATGCTAAATAAACATTTCCAGGCACACTTCCAGGGTTTGGGGATCCAGGAATGAACGTAACAAAGAACCGCCCTGTGGAACTCCCCTCCCAGCTCTCATAACGTCCCTAGGAAGTGACTACTCCCTGTTCACGGGTGAGGAAAGAGGAAACGGAGGCACTTGACTGAAGTCGTGTGGCCTATTCAGTAGCAGGGCCAGGCCCGAAGCCTGAGTCTGGCTCACTCCAGAGTCTGTGCTCGCAATCAGAACGCCCCACAAAGCATGACAGGGGCCTCAGTTCCTTTGTCTACACCCTCTTCTTAAAACAGTTGTCTTTGTGGGAACCAGCAGTTAGTGTAATGGCTATGTCGCTGGACTCCCACATAGTCGACCGCGGTTCACGTCCCAGACCCGGCGGCTTAAAACTCACACCGGGCGCATGTGCGTGCATGCCCAAGATCCCGAGAGGAGAATGGAGGAGAAGGGATTGCGGCATGACCATCCCCCCGGGGGTGATTTCTCGCTTTCTGTCTCTCTGTCTCTGTCTGTCTGTCTGTCTGGCGAACGCATGTGCCCTATAACGAAAACCTCTCCAAAAAAAGAAAAAGAAAAACAGTTGTCTTTGAGTCTTTTTCTCAGTTACAGCTAAGATTGTGTACGTTTTATTCCTTATAAGAAATGTAAATGTATGAAAGTTTATTCTCATTAGAAATAATGGTGTTAAAACTGTTTCTCATAGCACGAAAGATAATACAAGTGGATGACATGATAGTGGAAGAAGAAGGAGAAGAAAAACACAAGAGTCTTCAAACTGCAAGAGTAAGTCGGCCCTCGGGATGGGGGCGGGAGGCCGGCAGAGACGAGCAAACGCAGAAGCGCGTGGAAGACAGTGCTTTCCCCCTAGAGCTCAGGGCTTGGTGGAAGAGACCCCGCGCCGGATGGCCAGGAACAGACGCATAATTGGCATGTGTGCAAAGTGTGCAGAGCATAGACAACGAAGCCGGCAAGTCTTCCCTACCCCGGTAGACACAGCCAGGCTTTTCAGGGTGAGAGAGCCCACCAGCTCGAGAGGAGAGGGAAGGGAATTCCAGGATGGGGTAGGGAAGTGTCAACGCAAGGAGCAGGAAGCAGTTGGTGTGGGGACGGAAGCTGTGCAGGTAGTCTGCATAGAGTAGGGGCCACATAATGCTGGGCCTCTTGAGCCCTACTCAGTTTCCCTTCTGGGTAGGCAGTGGTAAGTGACGTCAGCTCAGTATTCCAGACAGCATTCAGGGTCAGTGGGAGAGAGAAACGCACCAGGAGGCTATTAACTTTCTAACTGAGCACTGACACTAAAAAGAAGGGGAGCTTTTAAGGTAAATTTTATAAAGAAGGGTGGGCATGACTGGTGGAGAAAAAGCACATTAGAAATGACTAAGGCTATAAATGGGGCTGACCTGTGGCACGGTTAAGGCAGCTGGATCCCACATGACCAACTGTGCAGTTCAAGTCCCAGACCCCCAGGCTTGGAGAACAGGCTGGGTGTGTGTGTATGCCGAGAACCCTGAAGGGAGGGAAGGCTGGAGGAGAAGGGATTGCAGTGTGTCCATCCTCTGTGGGTGCTTTCTCACGTGCCATCTGTCTCTCTCCAGCAAGCACACACACTCGAACAGGCTTAGGAAAATAAATAAAAAGATTCAATGGTCTCTATTCAATGGTCCCTAGCTTAGGCAACTCCATCCAATGAAACGTGGGAGCTGGAGGCAGAGTGGTGCTGGGTCAGGGCGAGAGAGGGCGTGCGTCACTTGCTGCATGTGTGGGGTGTCAGACACCTTCCCAGGGCTTCTTAGGTCGCACAGAAATTTCAGCCTGGAGCTCAGGGAGAAGCAGATCAAGAGATACCTTCTCCTGGATTTTTTGTTGTTGTAGGAAGCATGCACTCACCATGGAGACACAGAGAAGGAGAGTGAAAAATCACCCCCAGGGGGGTGACCACACCACAATCCCTTCTCGGTTCTCTTGGAATATTTTAGGCACACATGCACCCAGTGTATTTTTTAAGCTGCCGGGTCCAGACCCGAACACTCACAGATGGCCATGTAAGATCCAGCCACCCTAAGTACCACACCACCTGCTGGATCCTAGGTGCTTCTCCCAGTGTAGGAGTGCATGGGAGGAAGGAGCGGCATGAAGGGAGGGAGGCTGAGGACGGGCCCCCGAGGGCAGGTAGAAAGAGGAGCTCCTGCCGCACACTGCCTAGGGCCTGCCAGAGAGCCCAGGAAGATGGGTCGACCCTGGGAGACGAGTGGTCATCTGCTTTTCATTACTAGTAATTGAATGCCACAGCCGGGTAACTTAGAGAGGGTCTCGTTGTCAGAGACTCTACCAAGTCCTGAGGGGGCGCGAGGTGTCACATGGCGAGAGCAAGAGCTTGTGTCCATGTCCGTCCCGCATCTGCTCTGGTCACAGGCTTCTCCTCATAAACCAGTGTTCAGTCATGGGGGCCCTTCTCTGATCCCAGCCACCTCCCGAGGCACCTCCTCTTCATCCCTTAGTCACACTAGGTTTCTGCCCACTTAACGCCTTTACCAAAACAACTAATTTTCTAGCCATGAATTCGGGGGAGCACATTAAACCACAGCAGCGAGGGAGGGAAGGGCTGCTAAGAGATACGGAGTAGTCTTACCGGGCGCTTCCTAGGACACGGGAAGGCGAGGGCTCCTGAACTGGGTATCCGGATGCTGTCGGTGACCTCCCGGCAGCACTTGGTGTAGAATACCATGGGACAAGCCCGACTGCAGTCAGTTCCAAAGAAATTTACCAGGGCCAGCAGGTGGTCTAGCAGTTACATTGCTGGACTCCCAAGTGGTGAACCATAGTTTGAGTCCCGGACCTAGTGGCTTCAAATTTATGTTGGGTGAGTGTGTATGTGTGTTTGTGTGCCCAAAATCCCGGGAGGAGAAGGGACTGTGGCATGGTCATCCCCCTGGAAGGTGATTTCTCACTTTCCCTCTCACTGTCTCTGTCTGTCTCTCTCTCCAGCAAGTGCATGTGCCCTAAAGCAAAAACCTCTACAACAATTTAAAAAAAGGCAAGAAATTTACCTTAAAAATTTTTTTTTCTTCCATGAGAAAGGGGCACCCCCAGCAAAGGGGTGCATTTGGCCCAGTCCTGGCATCAGGTCACCAGGATCGTGGGCACGCACGTGCTCCCAGCATTACTGGAAAGTCCTGGAACGTGAACCCAGGACCTTCCCACGTGGCTCCAGCATCCCCAGGCATTGCGCTTCCACTGGGCCACTGTCGCTAGCCAAGAGTTTTGCCTTTCATCTTGCCAAAGTCCTCTTTTCTGAAGACCTGGCCGGTATAAGTCTAGTTGACCAATTATGTTCCGGATTTTCTCAGTCACTGAATTCTGTGAGACCTAATGTTTAGTCTTCATTTTCCTTTCCAGAGCTGGATCACCCTTCCTTCCTTCTTGTTTTTTGTTTGTTGTTTTCTTGGTTAACCCTCTTTATCTTCTCTGTTTGCTGGGCTTTTTATAACCGCAGATTCATTTGTGACTTTAGGTCAAAAGGTGTCCTCCATCTAAGAAGAGAGCCCAGTCGATTCGAGGAAGAGGCAAAAGCAAAAGGTAACGCGTGTCCCATGTAAAAGCGTGCTCTTGGTTTAATTAGAAAGCCACAGGCAGAAACAGGGTCTGACGTGGGCTGGGGGCCGTGGTGGCTGGCGTTCAAGTGGAGCTTAGAGTCATTGAACGCTTGGGTATCCGAGTTGGACAGGCCTCTAACCAGTACCTTCCCTGATCTTTTGTCTACATCTCCTATTCTCATCTACTTTAAAAACGCACACACGGGGGGCTTGCAGGTGGCGCGGTGGTTCTGGCACTGGACTCCCACGTGGCCAACTTGGTTTGAGTCCCAGACCCAGCAGCTTGAAAATCACACCAGGCATGTGTGCACGTGTGCCCAAAATCCCAGGAGAATGGAGGAGGAGGTTTTGTGGTGTGGCCATCCTCCCTGGGGGGGTGACTTCTCACTTTTCCCTCTCACTCTCTCTTTGGCAAGCATACACGCCCTATGGCAAAAACCTTAAAGACAAAAAAACAAAACAAAACTGCACACGTACACACACAACAGGGAGAGCAGGGCCCAGGGAAGCACAGCAGGAACTACAGGCTGTGTTTGTTGCCTGACAGTCCGCTGTCCTGTAGGCAGTCAGAGTGGCTGTGATCGGCTTCCTGAAACATTCTGGCTGGTCCTGGTAAGTGAAGGATCTCCGTGGGCTTGAATTGAATACACAGGACTACTCTGAGTCCTTTGGGGATAGGAGAGATCGCTTAGGAGCCTGGTCACTGGGGCGTCTGCAAAGGCGAGAGCTCCTGTTTCTCCCTGAACACTGGTAGGCCACCGAGCAGCTGCCTAGTGAGAGCGCAGGAACTCCAGCTGGGAGCCCTCACTCTGTTTCGTTGTCCCCCCGTCTCCAAGGCAGACTGCCTGGGTTCAGAGTTCTGGCTCCACCCTGCTTCTCAGCGTGAGATCTTGGGCGAGTTCTTTCAACTCCACTTGCCTGAGTCTCTACACCTGTAAACGAGGTGTTGGTGGGCCTGTGTCCGCAGGTGTCAGGAGGGTTACACAAGCTGATGTACACAAGGCGCAGAACAGTGTCCAACTGTGTCACCTGCTTCCGCGCTGTCACTGACCTGAGAGCCGGGATATCTGATGGCCGTTTCTCACTTGTAGGTCTAGCCACAATGACATGTTCACCCCAGCTACGAGCCGACTGGAGATGTCCATGGTGAAACCAACTCCAGGCCTGACCCCCCGGTTTGACTCGAGGTGGGTGATGAAAGGAGCGCTTGGGCTTTGGTGGGAGGCCAGTATTGCACGTTACTCACAGGAGATGGGACCAGCAGTGGCATGGTGGTTAAAGCAACTGGATCCCATATGACCAACTGCGGTTCGAGTCCTGGACTCACCAGCCTGAGAGACACACTGGGCGCATGTGCATGCATGCCTAAAATCCCAAGAGGAGAATGAGGAGAAAGAACTGTGATGTGACCATCCTCCCTGGGGGGTGCTTTGTCACTTTCTCTGTTTTTGGTGAGCACATGTGCCCTGTAGCAAAATAAAGAAAGGAAAGGGACCAGCAGATGGCACAATGGTTACGTCACTGCACTCCCATGTAGTCGACCATGCTTCGAGTCCTGGACCTGGCGGCTTAAAGCTCACGCTGGACGCACGTGTGTGTGTGTGTGTGTGTGTGTGTGTGTGTGTGTACGCCCAAAATCCTGAGAGGAGAATGAAGGGAAGGGATCGCAGCATGGCCATCCCCCACTTGGAGGTGATTTCTCGCTTTCTGTCTCTGTCTTTCTGGCGAGCTCATGCACCCTGTGGCAAAAATCTCAGAAAGAAAGAAAGAAGGGAAAGGAAGAAAGAAAAGAGAGAGTGAAAAGAGAAGAAAAAAGAAAAACAATTCCTGACTCCTTGGCCTGGGAAGCCTTCTTTCTGAGGATAGCCGCTGTCTGGCTTTCCCAGTGTTTACCTGAGCCTTGAGTTCAGGTTCACCCGTTTTCAGCAGCAAATGAGTCTTAACTGACAGGAGGGAGAACGTTCTGCCTCTGATGACATGGAGGCCTCTGTGTGACTTTTTTGACCTTTTCTGATTCTGATCAGAGCTTAAAAAGATGAGTAGGCACTTTCCTGTACCCTTGGTATGAGTGGAAATCAGCACCATCTTTTCCTTTGATTTTTATGTTTCCCTTTTAAAGAGGCTTTTTCTAACATCGCCAGAAGGTACGTGTGCCCGTCAGACACGGGGAGAGAGAGAGCACCCTTCTGTGGGGCGTGGTCATGCCCCAATCCTTTCTCCTCCACTTCTGCATCCTGTCAGGATTTGGGGCACGTGTGCATACAGGGCCTGGTGTGTTTTCTAAGCTGTTGGGGCTGGGATTTGAACTGCTTAGCTCCAGATGCACTGCACTTAACCCCTGCGCTTTGGCGCTGGCCCTCTTGTTTTTGTTGTTGCTGTTTTGTTTTGTTTTTGTTGCTGACTGTGGTTTGAATCCCTGCCCCTTGAGAAATATGCTAGGCACCTGTGCATGTGTGCCCAAAGTCCTGACAGGATGGAGAGATGGAGAAAGGATTGTGGCATGGCCAAGCCCCATTGGGGAGTGCTGTCTCTCTCTTTCTCTGCCTTTCTTTGGGAAACGCACAGCCCTCAGGCAATTAAACAAAAAGAGAATGCATCTGTATGTGTGATCACAGAGCATCTCCAGGTAGGTCACTGACCACTGCAGACATAGGCTCCCGTTTGCTTTCTTACACACAGAAAGCGTCTGGAAGCACAGAACAGCAATTAGGAATGGCTGCCTCTGGGGTGTGGAAAGTGAGGAAGACTTACTTTCTATTTTAATTCACATTTTTCTTCACTGTTGATTTTTCATATGAATATGTAGCAAAAGACATTTATTAGCATTCTGAACATCTTGATGAAGTTAGCTTGGGGATTGGCATAATGATGTAATCATGGAATCCTCCTCCTTTGACCCTGGAAATCCCTCGATGGAAAGGCTTAGCCACTCTTGAAACACGTGGACAGTTTATTTCCAGCTTTATGGATAGATGGGTGACAGGCACCCATACGGAGCTTTGGGCCTAAAATTTACATGGAGAAGAGTTGACTTTTACTAGATAAATGTTTGGTAATTACAGCCTCCTTTCTCCAGCTGTGTTTAGTCATTACTGCTTTTAAAAATGTCTCCCCTAAATTTAGAACTTGCCTTCTTAGAAATGTGTGATTTGAAAACTGCAGCTTGAGGACAGATGGGCTTTGGAAGGGCCCAAAGTGTCATTCAGTCTACAAGCCCTGTTCACAGGGGTTTTCCCACTTTGTAGGGTCTTCAAGACCCCGGGCCTGCGCACTCCAGCAGCCAGAGAGCAGATTTACAACATCTCGGTGAACGGCAGCCCTCTCGCTGACAGCAAAGACATCTTCCTCACCGTGCCAGTGGGCGGCGGGAAGGTAAAGTATTTGGGAATGAAGCCAGGCCCCGGTGTGCCGCTTCGTCAAGCATGTTCCTTCCCTGGACAGTCACCCACCTCTCTCCCTCAGAGGCCTCTCAGTTGCATGGGTCCTGGTCACCACACTTCGGGACTTCAAACCCAGTTTCCTCTCCCAGATTAAAGACCTAGACTGGGGAGATCCCTGCCTCTCTGCGTGTTCCATTGCTCAGCTAACTCTCGCTGCCTGCAGCAGGCCCAAGGTTCCTGCCCTGAGAAGCAGCTCAGCAGGCAGGATGGGTCTGCTTTCCAGAATCTGCAGTAACAGAGCTTGAAGGGAGGGCAAGGGAGGCACTACTGGGGTACGTGCTTATCTCAAAAGGGGTGCGTGAGCAGTTTCTTCAGCTGTGTGTCACACCGAGGGATTCCAAGCAGGTGAGCCCATTTCTCTGGGCTTCGCAGAGTGAGCTGCTGGCCTCAGCCCCTGAGAGGGCAGAACAGGTTATTTCCGGTGTGGGCTGCAGGGTGTCTCTGCCAGGTGCTCTGGCCACTGGCCCAGTGACAGCCCCGATGGTGTTGTCTCCTTAGGGCTAAGAGCCCTCTTGCCTGCCTTGCTGCTTCTCCACCCCAGCTGGTGCAGGAGCCCGAGGGACCCCTGGGGCTCACTGGGCTGCTGGGCGGGGCTCCTGCTCTGAAGGACATACCATGTAACCCACTGTCCCCCACACAGAGCATGCGGTTACTGGCTAGTGACTTGCAGAGGACGGATATCGCACACCTGGACCCAGAGGCCCTGGGGAACATCAGGAAGCTCTCCGTAAGTCACGTTCATCTCCACACGCTGGGTGTCCCCAGCGGCTTTGCGGGTGTGGCTTTCTCTAGGATCATCTGTGGGGTCTGAGCTAAAGCGTTATACTTAGAATTATGGTGCCTTCTTTCCTCCAAGGGATGTGGACTGCCTTCTTGCTCACACAGCAGCTCTGTCCCTAAAGCGGTGTTGATCTTGGTCCCTGAGTGCCCAATAGGAAGTTCACAGGGGAATCAAACCCCGCCTCGTTCAGGCAGCTGGTGCCAGAGTAGATTAGGGTGCTGTTGACTGACAGGGACTGAACTTCTCACAGTAGTTCCAGAATGAGGGGAGTGGCCTGTAGGTGGAGGGGCCTTCGGTGGCAGGAGTCTTAGGGCTGGGACTCTGGTGCCCTCCTCTGGCAGCTGTCCTGGGCCCGTGCGCTCACTTCTCTGCTCTTCATTCCCCCATCTCCAGGAGGCTCTTGGCCCTGCCCTCCTTCACACTGATCCGCACGTGGCTTTGGGGCACCATGCTGCCACGTCTATGACCCTAGTGTCTGACACTGTTCAATCTCTGGTGTTGGTTTAAGTCCTTCAGTGGGCTCATTTGGTCAGATGAGCCTCCCTAGTCAGCTCTGGTGTTGGTGTAGATGGGAGCACTCAGTGCACACCTGGCTGGTTTAGACAACACTGCGAGGCAACCCCACTGGGAGGGTTCCCGGTTCAAGTCTCGAGACCTCCCTGAGTACACTGGACGTGCTTGCCCCTGACCCAGGGCTTACTGACGGTGGGCGGATCGTGGCAAGACCCCACCGGGGTAACTGAGATCTTATTGATCCCTCTCTGTATCTCACAAAAAAAGCAATAGCTGGCAAACACGGCTGCCTTAGGCCCAGCCCTCTGTGGGGCCTGCGAGGCTTCACCCAAGGAAGGGACACAGCCGCCAAATCGAGTGACAGTAATTACTGTGCCCGAATCACCTCGTTTGAAACCTTCGCTGTCTGTATGATCTGACTTCTTGGCTTGGATGAGACACGAGGCTCAGAAGGGCTCCCTCGTTCATGAGGGAGTAGAGTAGGGGCCAAGACTCGCAGGGAGCTGGGCTCAGACGAGCTGTGAAGCAGCTCCTGGACCGGCAGACCCAGGCACCCATGTTTCTAAATGACCTGCCTTGTCCTTTCAGAGCCGGCTCGCCCAGATCTGCAGCAGCATACGGACCTACAAATGACAAGCCAGACTCGCCAGGATGGGCCTCGCTGGACACGTCCAGGCCCTGGAGAGACATTCCCTTCAGGCTTTTGTTTGTTCGGGTGCGAGGTTCCAGAGCAAGGAGGAGTGTTCCTCCTGGGGAGTTCGGAAAGGGGAGACACTCTGTCCCCTAAGTTAGATGCGTGTGTAATTTTGTGACATGACTGTTCCCAGTAGTTCAGCCCTGTTCAGGCTGAATTCTTTTCAACTCATTTTATCCTCCTTTTCCTGAAACTTTTGTACATATTGTTTTCCTGAGTAACGGTATCTGTAAGCTGGTTTGTTCTGAGCGCACCTACTGAAAGGTACCTGCTTTCAATAAATTCTGGGGTTTTTGTTTTTTAATCGGCGTTCAGCCCGCCAGTGGCCTCCGAGCTGTGCCGCAGGGCTAGGGAGGCCGTTGTGGAGCTGAAGCTGTCGGAGCACGAGGGTCTCGGGACACCGGCTTTCCTCAGAAGACATGAAAGCCTCTACTTCAGGCAGAATCTGATACCTAAAGGCTGGGCCTCACCCCAAGATCTGGTCACCAACCCCCAAGCAGGCTTCCCCAGTACCCAGGATGTTACATCTGGGAGGACAGTCGGGGGCGCCCACAGGTGCATGGATCAGGCGGTTTCGGTGGCCAGGAACCAAGCAGGGGCCAGGGTGATTTGGGACCAGGCTTCTCACTCCCCCAAGTTCCTGGAGCTCCAGCAGCCCCACCTTCCTAGAACTGTGCACACTGAGAAGGAGCGGGTGGAATGAGTGGTAGACGAGGGTTCTGCGAGAAGACGGTCACTACTCAGCCAGGTGAGGGGTGCTGACAGCCCACGGAGAGGGAGCCCTCAGTCAGCGACAGCCTCGTAGTGAAGGTTACTCATTTCCAGTGAGTAGCCCAGTCTGTTGGTCGGCCAGCCTTCATCAGCCGGTGCAGCGTTAGGCCAAGCCCGAGGTCACTGCCTCCAAAGCCAGGCTCTCGGTGCCCGAACCTCTGCACCATGCCAGAACACGCCAGCTGGAGCTATAACACGCAGCAGGTGCCCGTCAGTGCTGTGACCAGGATGGGGCGGGCCTTCATTTCAAGTGAGGGGCTGGCTTGGACGGTAAAATGTTCCTTGTCCTAGGATTTTTTTTTTTTTTAATTTTGTCAGGACACACCACTCTCCACAGATGGAAGGAAAGGAAGTAAACACCTCCCATGGGCGTGGCCACACACAGTCCCTCCCCCTCCACTTCTTCCCTCCCCTCAGGGTCAGGCATGCACACACACATGTGTCTCTTGAACCACCATATCTAGGACACACCACATGGCTAGTCACGTGGGAACCAGCTCCCTCGCCCATCAAGCCACAGGCTGGCTTTCAACCGGGACGCCACTGTGGCCTATAGATACACTTCCCCCTCACCGATGGGTGGACTGGCTTTTGTTACTTCTTCATTCGCAAGAGGGCAGTGTTCTTGCCAGAGAAACAGGAGGAGAACGCCCTACGGGGGTGTGGTCAGCCCACAGCCCCGGCTCCATTTCTTCACGCTGTCAGCATTTGAGGCACCGGGAACACGTGCCTGGCATGTTTTTTAAGCCACTGGGGCTAGGATTTGAATGCCACAGTCAGCCATGTGGGATCTGGCTCCCTTAACCACAAGGCCACTGTCTGGCCTTTAATTTCAAATTAGTTGTTAGTAATTTTTAAATTGGGAGGCTTTACAAAAATCGCTAATCTCCAAATACAAGCTCTGGTAACACAGGCCACCCTCAGCAGAAGCTGAGGGGTGGCTGTCCCTGGGGGTTCTCCCGTCCTGGAAGGTACCCACCTCGCCCGCGGGGTGCCGTCTGTGCCACCCTCTGCACCACAAGTCCACACCCAGCCGCTCGGGGCCACTGTTCTCTGGCTGCCGGTGCAACTCCTTCCTGCACCTCGGGGCCCTGCCTTCGATCCCGTTTCCTCTGATTCTCGGTGTTTTTCTGGGGCTCCCCTCTCCCCCTCATGCCCTGCCACCAGGGCGACCTGACTGCGGCTCCAACCCCACCTGCGGTGGAGGCGTGGTTTGCGTCCCCGCTTCATGTGGAAGACAGATGGCCACGAGCCAGGCCGATGCAAACCTAGCATCTGACCCGAGCTCCACCTCGGCCCTCACCTGCGCCCCCAGTTCCAGTCCTGGCCTCTGGCCCCAGGTAGTACCCACCTCAGGGAAGTTCCTCCAGACTCCAGACACACCTGGCTGCACCCTAGAGGTGTCCTCCACCAGGCAGGGGTGTCCCCCGCGGCGGGGACAGTGCCCGACTCACCAGCAAGCTCTGGGGCCTCCGGCCCGGGCAGGGGTGCAGGAACCCTCCCACACATGCTACACCGCCGTTAGGCGTCTGCCGCTCCGGCGCCTTATCACAGGTTTTATTACTTTGTCCTGCACGTGGAACCCAAGAAATACAAAACACCTCCAGAATGGGCCAAAGGAACCGCCTCCCCGGCCGGCCCCCTCCCTCCCCAGATGGCTCCGATGCAACTGAAGGGGGGCCGCAGGCCGCCTCACTCTGTCCAGTGAACGAGTTCCGTATAAAAATAGATCTGTGGAGGGCCTGGAGCGCCAGCAGCCCACACCCCGCTGCGCCTGTGCAGGGCTGAGGCCTGGGGCCCGTCAGGATTCTGGGACCTCCCTCCTCAGTGGAGGGAAGTCTACCCTGGACACCGAAGTCGGGCCAACACAGCCAAGGGCCCCCTGCAGAACAGCATGGGGAGGGGACACGTTGACCTTAAGAGAATGGCCAGTGTGGCTGGAGATGGGGACAGCCTCTAAGACGGACCTCAGGCCCCACATGCCTTAGAAGCTGGCCCAGGCTTCCCTGGAGAGGGTGGGGAAGGTGAAGATTGGGGGCAGGGGGACTGCCTAGAAGGGGACACCCCAACCCTGTCAAAGGTGGAAGACTATCTCAGTCCCCCAGTACCCCGAAGTCACTGGGGCTGGGGTAGGTGCTCAGGAGAAGGGGGGGGGAGACTCCAAGAAAGCGGCTGCTGCTGGCAGTGTGAGGCCAGAAACACTGCCCTGAAACACCATCCCCCGTGGCAGCCCCAGGCCTCCGCTCCTCCCGGCCCCTTGGCTGTCCTCCCATCTGCTGGCTGGTCTGCTGCAAGCTCCACCCATCCCAGGGAAAGGGCCGCCCCCTCACCCTGCTCCACATGCCTGGCTAGGGCTCTGTCCCGTATGTCGGTCAGTATACACACCGCCAGAGTGTCCATCTGCCCCTCCAGCTTGCCCTCTACTGGCCCCGAGGGCTCTCGAGGGCCCTGGGCACTGGTGGAAGGTGCCCACCTAGTCCAAGCCCTCCGATGCCAGGCCCTTTTCCCTCTTTCCTCCACCCTCCCTAGTCCGTCCACCCTACACAGTCACACCGGAGCAGATGCCCCGTCAGGGTGGCATGGACATGCCCAGCTCCGGCTCCTTCCTGCTTCCCGGGAGAGCTCCGGCCTCACACTCACCACAGCTCCCAGGGCCCTTCTAAGAAGGACCTCGAGACCCCTTCTTCCAGGAGAGCTGAGCAGAGGCCGGTGGGAGGAGGAGCTAGCCAGAGGGCCTGGAGTGTGTTGGCACCATGGGACAGACCGAGGGCTCTCCAGAGCCGGCCTCAGCCCCTGAGGCTCTGGAAGCAGCTCTAGCCTGACTCCTCACAGGCTTCGGGTCAGTGCAGTGCGGGTTAGACCAGCCTGTCTCAGAAGATCCATTTCGAAGTGTCCCTTTGTCACTAACCCCAATGCTGGACAGTAAGGCTCTGGGGTCCCCGAGGAGAAGACATGTCCCTTCATGGTCTTCCCAGATGTCCGAGCCAGTGGGTCCATAAAAGGAAAGCGAAATGGGGCCGAGGCCCAGGGGAGCACCAGGATTTTGAGCAACCCCGCTAGGCTGCTGCCCTCACCCCGAGCTGTCGGCATGAGGGAGGGGACGCAGAAATGCACTCCTGAGATGGCCCTGGCCGGGCCCTGAGTCAGCATCACCTTACCTGTGGCCTTGGGGGCAGCGTGCACACAGACCCCACCAAGGCATGGGTGCCACGGCCTACCCCACGGCCAGCCTCCCAGTCTGGGCTGTCAGGCAGGGTGAACGGGAGCCCCACAGGGATCTCGCTGACTGGCCAATGGGCCTGCGGGGAAAGGGGCCCCCACTGGGGTGGGGCCCAGCCCCTGGGTGTGGAAGACGGACGGACGAGCCAGGGCAGTAGGAAGCCACTGTCTTTCCTCCCACTCCCTGCCCCAGTTCTGCCCCTGGGACCCTGAATTTCCTCCCACTGTTACCCCAGGGGTCCTTCCCAGGGTTCGGAACCTCTTTCCCAGGAGTGCCGACACCAGGGGACACAGGAGAGGCCAGCAGTAACACGGGGAGAAGGTCAGACCAGCTCTGGGCCCAGACCAGAGCGCCCGCTCCGCACAGCTGCAGTGCAGCCCGCCAGTCCCGCCCCGGACTACCGGGGGCGCTCACACCTGCACCCCCTGGCCCTGCAGCTGGAGCACTCGGGCCCGTAGGGTGCTGATCCCGCTGAGGAGGGCTTCTCGATGTTCAGCCGAAGAGATGCCCAGGCTCACCAGGTCCCTGCAAGGAGAGCCGCTCAGCCCCGCCTCTGCTCTTCCCGAGGGCCCTTCCGCGCCCTTCCCCTCTCTGGACGGGGACAGGCGGGGGCTTCCCAGCAGACGAGGCAGCACCCGACCCTGGTTCCCCCGACTCACTGAGCAGTCATCTCGGCCACAGCCTCGAGGCTCCCGGGGCCACCAGCGGTGAAGCTGTCCTTGTAGCGGCATAGGTCCAGCGCCTCCAGCCACGCGCCCACGGAGCCGAAGGAGGGGAAGGTGGAGAAGGCACGGTCTGCCAGTGGGGTGGGAGGCCTGGGGACCAGAGGCACCATGGTCAGTGAACAGCTGGGACCCGGCGCCTCAGGAGGGGCCAGTGAGAGGACAGGAGAAGGGAGGGCAACCGGGCCCCAGCCTGCACCGGCTCG